AAGGTCAGAGTAGACCACTGATTCCAAATGGATTACGTAATTTTTTTGTTTTTAGGAGCATACTGCCTAGTGTAATCTTTGTCGCTTACTCAAATAAAAATCAAAACAGTCTTGTATGATTTTGATCTCAATGACCTCTGAAAGGTCAGACAAGGTCACTGACCTTAAATGATTATTTGATCTTTTGCTTAAAACAGGTATCTAGGTTCTGGGGCACTTTGGAGCCCAACCTGGAAATTGACATTGTTTGACCTTATTTAACACAAAGGTCATGACTTAGGAACCTCAAACGTTGACCTTATTCGGTTCAGGTACAAGCTAACATACCCCGTAAATTTGGTGTCTCTAGCTCTCTTAGTTAATGAGATATCAGGGGGTCAAATTGACCCCCACCCAAGCGAAAGGTGTCCAGCCGGCCACCCGGGCGCGTGTCAAAAATTAGGTGCTACAAGAATGCTTTTTTGCTGTTTAAGATTTAAAGCCCATAAAACCCGCCAAGCCTGGCCTACAGCCGGCCAAACGCTTGCGAGTTCTTGCCGAGTTAGGTGTGACAGGCTGGCGCGTGAATAACTTGCGTCTGTAATCCACACCTGTATGTTGAATAAAGCATACCTCCCTTGTTCTATTCCTTTATTGCTTTATCAGAAAACGCGTCAGATTTGAACGGTAACACCAGTATTCTCGAAGAATTTCTATTTGAAATACCCGCCCGGCAGAAATCTCCATGGACTCCCTGCTCAACATTATAAAAGTGATGCATGTATTTGCGTTCCTGTCTCCAACGCGTGTGCTCTGTAATGTTTGCAACACGGTAATTTGTAGGAGTGCTTGTGTAATGAATGCTACGAAAGTTGGGAGCATTCTTTTTAGAGAAAAATATATGCAAATATGAGGCCATTGTCCCCCAATTCAAGGAAACGTCACACTGTGGCTTTGATTCCCCCCTAACGCCTAGTTGCCTTTCCACATTAGTCGTCACGTTTAGTGGCCTTATCACAGTAACCCTTTTTGAAGCGCATTTAGGCTTTGGGAAACGGAGTATCAATTTGTACATAACGACGCGCTGGTTCAAACTTCAACCGACGTGTTTCTCGGTAGCTAGCCCTTGCCGCCTGCTGTGCCAATCACAAACGTTCACTTGTACTTACTGACGCCGTTCATACCAGTGGAGCTGCCACTTTTAACTCCACAGACCCGCAATGTGCAGGTTAAAACAGCTTTGAAGTGGTTCCTATTGCCCGTCGCGCTGACAACGCCACTCAGTAGATTTTCCCGTCGTCTTGGCGATGACGGTTGCGACAAACGCAGTTGTCATGGATTCGGGATGCACTCGGGAGCTGCAAAGAAAGGAAAAAGCGTAGTGCTGATACAGAGGATCGACAACGTAATTTGGACAAAAAGAAAAACTGAAATTTGTCTCCTTATTACAACACCTAGATGATGCTGCAGCGACACTATTCAGTGTTATTATATGGCGTAAATGGTCCTGAGGTTTCACCAGAGCACGTTTATGGATTGTGCTCCAAAGGCGGGACGCTCCCTTTAATTGAGACATTGGCCGACACCATAGATAAATTGGACTGCATTTCCCCAGCATCGGTCACTGTTTTTTTTTTGCAGTTATACCGTAGATCACCGTTTTTGTGCCATATAGACCATTCTATGCGCTAATGAGGGATATGAGGTAACCCGCATTTGGACCTTCCTAGAAATATATGGCTTATAGGCCATGTGTTTCTAGGACCTGCGCTCACTGGAGCAGTATGCTGTGCCATTAAACCCGAACGCTTCAGAGCACAGGACACTCTCAGAGAAGCTAGATGAATGGGAATGGCGTTCCAGCGCGGTTCACTATGTTAGAAGCAGACCTGTGTTCCGCTCACTGTTTTTGTTTTTGCCAGCTCAGGACCGGCTCACATATTTTGGAATCCCATTTAGTTCATGACTCATTGCCGTTTCAATATTATATTTTGATTCAGCTCAGCTTAGGCTCCTTGCTTGCATAAAATCACTTGCCTCATGACCCTCACAGCTTATTCAGTTTTGACTTGTTGCCTTATTTCCTGTGAATCATATGAACTCATTCATATATGCACATGCACACACACACAAATATATATATATATATATATATATGCACATATGTTATATATATATATATATATATATATATATATATATATATATATATATATTTGTTTGTTTGTTTGTTTGTTTTTGTTTTTGCCAGCTCAGGACCGGCTCACATATTTTGGAATCCCATTTAGTTCATGACTCATTGCCGTTTCAATATTATATTTTGATTCAGCTCAGCTTAGGCTCCTTGCTTGCATAAAATCACTTGCCTCATGACCCTCACAGCTTATTCAGTTTTGACTTGTTGCCTTATTTCCTGTGAATCATATGAACTCATTCATATATGCACATGCACACACACACAAATATATATATATATATATATATATATATATATATATATATATATATATATATATATATATATATACACATATGTTTATATATATATATATATATATGCACATATGTTTATATATATATATATATATATACATATATATATATATATATATATATGTATATATGTGGAATCTTATGGAAAATAGGCATGATGGCCTAGTAACAAATTTGTAGTTTGAACCTAACCAATGCAGCGCAGCCAACAACACCTTTCATGCAACATGTTTCCAATCAGCTCCTCAAGCCTCAGCTCCAGGCTAGCACATTCTACCTGGAACCTACGACCCAGATCCATTAGTTACATAGCATGCAATGTAGACCAGACTGCACTTAACCTAACAGTTGGCAGTCCTCGCCTGCCAAGTGCCAGTCAGGTTACTCACATGTAGATAACCACATTTCCGCCAGCCAGTAATAGTCATGCCTTCGTCGAAAGCAAGTAAAAAATTTAACGTTGGATTGCGATTTTTGCAATAGCGATTATCTAGCATAAGCTACAAACATGACATGAACTTATTTTACTTAAGTGATAGGTATTACGATTTACAATTGCATGTCTAACAAACAAGCCAGCAAAAAATATATTTCACTCGACCCTCCGTCTTCAGGTCAGCAAGTAACTGAACTAAGCTGAAGTGAGCAACTGAGTTGGAGATCAGCTACCGTAGGTGCCGCCGACTGTCGCTTCCGCTGGATAGCTTAAACTCACGTCATCAGGTCACTCTATGATGAGTTAAGAGTTAAAACAGGTGTTCTGGCCGCGTTGAGATTGGTGTTGTGTGTCACTTTACCTGCATTCCAAGAATACTGAAGCTGAAATCCAAAGTACCACTTCAAGTTACGTGTTGCGTGGGAATAGTTGTTGATGCAGGAGGTCACACTCCGCGACATGCAATTCGCATACAAGATAAGACGACCTTGCCACTATTGCTGTTTATTTCATACAGCCTCATCAATGGCATGCTTGCAGCCGTTCGAGGAGAAGCAAGTGGGCGGTCATGTATGGATTGTTTCATTATTGTGGCAATCGGCAATGCAAAATATGACCAGTCTTTGGGTTTTTAAGAAGCGGACAATCTTTCACAGATTTTAACGCAGGATAGAGGACTGAAGGATGTCTGTGCCATGTAACATCCTCAGATTGCTGCCTCAGGTTTGGCAAACTTTACCTCAGGTTCAACAATACGGTGTTTGCTGCATAGAAATTGCAATAACAAACTGTGTGCCGACCTTTATGAAAAAACCTCACTAGTAATGGTGCATGCTGTTCATTTTAACACTCTGAAATGGTATTTTAGTTCGTCTGGGGTATGTTGTGCTTCCTAATGCTGCCACTTTCATTTGAGCTAAATGACTCACTGACACAACATTGTCATAAATAATCGACTCACGATTCAGCTCATGAAATTGACGAACAGTGTGATTCAGCTCATGACTTAAAGCGGTGTGTTTCCCAGTGAGTCGAAGCAGCTCGCGACTCACCCCAAAACGATTGACTCATGATCCGATCTATGATTCAGCTCGGCTCGAACACGAGTCTTGTTAGAAGTATGTAATCAAGTGGGAAAAGCACCTGGAATGCATACGATTGACGTGGGCAATTTTCACGCTGTTCTTTAGCTTACATGGAGTGCCCCTCCGAGACCACCGAAGGCCGGAAAATTAGTCGTTTTGGCAACATATATGCGACCACTCTTGGCGTATGTCCTAATACGTGTTATTCGATCCATTTGCCCGAGAGGGAGCTGCTGAGGAGGGGATGCACGTGCTATTAGATCTTCCACTACGACCATCAGGCTACATCACTTCCCTCTTGTAGACGCAGTATTCTGCCAATAGTCCTAAAAGGTACGCGGTAAGTCAAACCAGGTACCAGTACGTAGCCCCCCCCCCCCACACGCACACCTGGGAACAGAGGGAAGCACGGCCCCGGCTGATCTTCCAGCCCCGTCCTGTCAAGCGGGAACTCTGTTCAGCCGTTTTCCCCTCGAGCCTCACTTCGTCTTTACACACGGAAATGAAAACCACTTACATGCATGGTGTAGGCAGCGACCCCCCTTGTGGTCGCTTCATAACGGCTCAAGCACACCACTTCACCACACCACTTCAACCCAAGTTTGCCGTGCAATTGCAAACACCGCTTAACGACAAAAAATATTGAGACGCTGATAAAGGCTGAGCCAGCTAACTACTTTAGCTTAACGTCGCGTTCAATAACGCGATGCGCCCTGGCTATGCCCGACTGGCCCCCAACCTTTACAACAGGAACTGCAGTTGGGATCATTGCCAACGTGCTCCGACTGTACTAATTGCAGCGGATCGGTTATAGTGGAAGATGGATGTGTGCTCCACATTGCCCCATTCAATTACGCCTCCCGGCGCCCAGCATAGTGGCCGTACAAGCTTGAGGTGCGTCAGCGGCGCCGGGCACACTGCGCATGCGCCAGTAGCCGACGCGGCGCCGCGGCGGCCGGCGCTGGCCAGTCGTCTGCTGGCCGGCCCGTGGGGGTGTGCGTGCCGCCATGGAGGACGAGCTGCGATGCGCCGCGTGCCACCAGTTCTACAGCAACCCAGTGCTGCTACCATGCGGGCACGCGCTGTGCCTCAACTGCGCGCTGCAGCGGCAGTGCGCGCCGTCGGCGTCGGCGAGCCGGCCTGACCCGGACGAGTCGGACACGTCGGGCTCCGATGTGGACAAGCTGTCGGTGGCAAGCGAGACGGACAGCGGCGTGGTGTGCGGAGGCAGCGGCAGCCGGCCGCACTCCTACTTGGGCTCGCCGGAGCCGGCGCCGCTGGCGCTGCAGTGCCGCCAGTGCGGCAAGCACGTCTACTTCGACGAGAACGGCGCGTACAACCTGCCGCGCTACCGCACGCTGCAGAAGGTCGTCGACCGGTACGTCGAAGCCAAGGACGTGACGCTCAAGTGTCAGCTGTGCGAGGCGGCACCGCGCGACGCGGCGGTGCTATGCGAGCAGTGTGAGGTTCTGTACTGCCAGCCGTGCCGGGAGCGGTGCCACCCGAGCCGCGGCCCGCTGGCGCAGCACCGGCTGGTGGAGGCGCGCGCCGGCGGCGGCCCGCCCGCCCTGGCGCGCCACCAGCAGCCCAGCTGCTGCGCCGAGCACCCCGGCCAGCAGCTGGTCAACTACTGCGTCGACTGCAAGCTGGCCGTCTGCAACGGCTGCGTGCAGGAGGGCAAACACCGCTCGCACGAGCTGCAGTCGCTGGCGGCCGTCGCCAAGACCCACAAGGTAGGCGGCAGCTATCGATTCCGGTCGACTGTGATTCACCGGCGCCCCTTCGCTCTCGCGGCTGAGCACGCCGACGAGGCGGGGTACCCCCGACAAAGAACGCCGGCCGCCGGCGTGCTCCTGCTGATGACTAACTTGCTGGGCGACGCTCCCATGCCATCGGGATGCCAGGAGTTGAAATTGGTGGGAATTACGCTCGTGGTTGAACAAAATAAACGTGCGACGAGATGCGAAGAGACAATTCGCACTCGTTTCTACAGCAGTCGAATGGATGATCTCTGAT